ACATCCGGTCCTTTGCTATCGTTTCCCTTATACTCATTATATTTTTCCTTTTTTTCGATACTTCTGTCATATAAAGGAACGTGTTGTCTCAGAATGGTATTCTTATTATTTACTTTATTTTACAGTTAGCTGATGAACAAGGTAGAGCGAAGAAAAAGAATCCGGTCTATCCTGTAATGTATATTACATATATATACACCATAGGGTAGTTGGAACTAACTGTGTTCAAGTTCTAAGAATTTCTTCGTATTTCTGGTATAGTTCATTCAATTTTCATCTGATAAAAATGATATTTAGCAGGTAGAAAGATTTGACTTTTGACTATTAATTGTTGTAAAAGTTATCTTAAAATTCATTAGCATTAATTGATGTTAATCAGTTGATCAATCGTATATGACAGTAATGAGGAATTGATCGACTGTCTTTTGTATTAATAGGCATAGAGTGATAAAATTGGAATGATCAAAAGAGGAGGGATTGATTTGAGTGCTTTAATATCAGTAATAGGTTCACGACAATTCAGAAAATCTATTGATTGTATCGTGAGAGTCTATTATTAGCTAATAAAATAATTTTTTTGCCTCACCATTAAATGTTAGAAAATTAAATATAAATTTACGCATTTTGAAGTCCTGGAACGCATTTTAAATGGGCAAATTTCTTCGAAACAACAGACACAGGCTCATTAGATTTCAAACGATAGAATCAATAGCTGATCATTATCTAAACATCGCTAACTAATAGTTATTGGCGATGTTTAGATAATGATAAGTCTCCAGTAGCTTAGAGCTACTGGAGGCTTATTTAACCAATTGCCACATAAAGGTGTGAGTTAGAACGCTGTTAAGATGAAGGAACTAGTCAGGGTTGTCAACTTTATTGATTTTTTGGAATGTTTGATTTGAATCTTTTTCCGGTCAATCTTCGTTTTTTTTTATGATCTCTACTTTTTGCTCAAAGGCATAAAAAGAGAGTAATTTTACGATTAGTTCAACATGTTTCTTGTTAAATCAGTAACTATCTGGAAAGGACCAAGGGGCCAATCCTTGTTAATCAAAGAAGAAAGAGCAACAACTAGCAGAGTCATGCAGCAAAAGATTTTTCATCATCGAGCAAGACCTAGAAGATTGAAAAAGATTTGGACGTGCCACGACTCTTATGCGTAATGTAATACATCGGCTTATGCTAACGGCTGTTTGAATCTGTTTTTAGTTTAACGTGTTAAAAAACTGAGGTAAGTATACTCTAGCAACGTTGATGTTTATCCTTCAATACGCATCCTTAAATCGTCGTATCATCTTTTACTTTTAAAGTTATATTATCTGTCTTCCTTCAAGCAGTTTATGTGAACTCAATTGATCAATCAATCAACAAGTCTATGTTTATGGAAGACAACACCTTTTTGTCTTTCATCTTGAATTTAAAACCAACAATTTTTTATGACAATAATTCAACATCATCCACGCCAAATAATAATAATCATAATAAAAGACAGCAACAGTTTGATAATTTAAATCGTATTGGTTACGAAATTAAAGAAGATATTGGTATTGGAGATCAAGATGTTAGTCATGATGAATCAAAACTTGAATGTCTTGACGATCATAACTGTAAGTGTACATAGCTGCGCTTTATTTTGTTAATCTTCACGTTTAACTCTAGTTTACTTAGCTGACGAAGGGACCTTGGGAACTGTCACGTCGCTTTTTCAGCCAAAACAAGTGGGTTATAGGTTATCAACTATACTGAATCTGAATATCATAGTGATAGCTGCCTACGGGCCTTCAGAGAGCGTTTTCTGGAAAAACTAATTTTTTACAAATTCTAAAACGTAACCAAAACCTTTCTTAATGATACATAGTTGTAGCCCGCAGATTTCTGATTGAAATGAGATATTTCTCAGCTCTACATGACCTTTCTTTGCAAAGTTATAGAATTTACAAGAAAAGCCCTAAATGTTTATTGTCCGTTCAAAGCTACAGAAATAAGAAATTAATTTAGGGCTTTTCTTGTAAATTCTATAACTTTGGAAAGAAAGGTCATGTACAGCTGAGAAATATCTCATTTCAATCAGAAATCTGCGGACTACAATCATGCCTCATTAAGAAAGGTTTGGGTTATTTTTTAGAGTTTTCGAAAAACTGTTTTTCGAGAAAACCGCTCTCTGGAAACCTAAGAGCAGCTGGCATGATGATATTTGGATTCAGTATAGTTGATAACCTATAACCCACTTGGTTTGGCTGAGAAAATAGTGTGACAGTTCGCGAGGTCCCCTCACGAGTAAAACAAATGAAAAATTATTGTTTTTCATCAGAAAAAATTCTTTTTTCTCGACACTTTTCTCTCTTGCATCAGTCACTCGTTCAACGGAAATCGTTCATCGCGCAAATTTTGGAGAAGAGACGGTTTGAATGTTGAAGAACTGTACATAAATGCTCTGAGGTTATCTCTTCAATATATGTTTTAACTCACTGATAGTTATGCTCGAAAGATACACACATACTCAAAGATTTTGTCGTTTTTTCCGAGGAGATCGTTGAGAGCTAAGTAGTACTCAGCCGTACTGTATCGCACAAATGGCTCATCCTCAAAAGATGTGGTAGTTTGTGACGCACTCTCATCTATCCGCCACCGTTTTTGTTGCTATTATCTTTTTTGGGGACAGTTGGTACAAACATATATTCTTTGAGATCAGTATGAGTTCTTCAAACAAGAATAAATCTGTTCAAGAGAAAAGCAGAAGTGGAAGTTCTAGACTGTGAAGTTCTAGACTGGAGAAAACTTGCATAACAGAATTATAAATATTACCATGGTGTGTTTTTTGATTTATTTTATTTTGTTCAGATATTTCAACCAATAAAGAAAATCAAATGAGAAATCATGATCTTATTCACGAATTTAATTTACTCGATAATGGAGAAGACGAACGTCAACATCAGCAGTGTCTTAAAGATAATAATGGCGATGATAGTAATTCAATGTATTTGAATACGACAACTGATCATGATCATAAATATGATATACAACAAACGGTACAACAACCATCATATCATCAGTCAGCGTTGCAGTCATCATTACTCACTCCATCATTGAATTATCGCAAAAGTCTTCCAAATGAAGATTATCGAATACTGGTTGATTTGTTAACATCTTCCGATGCTCAATTACCACAACGCTTTGGTTCAGCACTTGTTGATCCACATTCGATTACCCCTTATACGGATGGTAAGTCTCAAAGTATTTGAACATATTTGAATTATCTTTATTTCAGAGCAATGCTTAATGGTCTAAGAAAATTCGATAGACTATCTTTTGATACTTATCTGATTAGAATAACCGTTTGTTAACGTTTTTCTTTGTTCAGCAACCTGTACACGTTCAAAAAAACGTATAAATCGAATTAAACGTCCAATGAATGCGTTTATGGTATTTTCACAATTTGAACGTCGAAAAATTGTACAATTGGCACCGGATATGCATAATGCTGATATAAGTAAATGTTTAGGTGCTCGTTGGAAAAAATTATCATTGATTGAACGTCAACCATTTATTGATGAGTCAGAACGTTTAAAAGAATTGCACGTATTAGAATATCCAAATTATAAATACTGTCCAAGAAAACGAAAAAACGGCGGTGACGGTCGAAAACTGAACAATAATCGAAATAATAATAACCATGTTTATGTTCCATTAACTCCACCACCATCTAGTTCATCGTCTGTTATTTCATCAACGTCACCTTCAACATCATCGTTTATCGTTCCGAAATGTGAACAACAACAATCAACAGTTATTCCTAATACAAATATTGATTTAACAACATTATCTTATTTACGATCAATGGCTGATCCAAAACTAGTTAATAATATTTTATTGGCAAATTTGAATTCGTTGAATAATGCTGTTGGTGCGCATCATCAACCATTTCAACAACATCAGCAATCATCGCATTCATTGTTTCTTCAACATCATCAATCAGCTGCAAATTTATTAATGAGATGCGATCCATCTTTATTAGCTGCCGCTATTGAAAGTATGAATGGTTAAGTTATTCCGCGGCTAAGTATCTCTTTTTATTCATTGGTGAACTATATAACAGTTTCATTTTATCTTTCACTTTAGAATAGAACATTTATTTTTCATTTTTATTCGTTTTCTTTTTGCTTACTTACTTTTGTTTTGTTTATATTTTTGGTCTTGTTTTGTTTTGTTTTTCTTGCGAAAATAACCTGGACTGAGATGAAAGGGTTCTAAAAGAGGCTTTTTCCAGTGATTAATCACTACGATACGGGATAATCACTACTATTTTTATATTATTTTTGTTTTGTTTGCGGTTTTTCATCTGTGTGAGTGTGCGCTTCTCTTATTGACTGACCCACTCTAGATGAATTTTGGTTTTATTATTGAAATGAAAATAAAAAACCAAAATAAGTTATATATGCGGAACCGACACAGAATCAATACGTCTAAAAATGAATCTATAGTTGAAGGATCAATTCCATCTTTTCTTTAAAATAACTTGGAACTTCACATAAATGCACAAATCTAATAATCCTAAACCCCTTTGCAAAATTTATTGATCTAAGAAAGCGTCAACACAAATGTATTGAAAAATTCACATTCTCATCTGTATAAAGATTGTCTCACCCACACCCATCTGCTCAACAGAAAAATATGACTTAGTTACAGAAAGCTTCGTAACCGACAGACACAATATGTCACATTTAGGAAGATTTAAGTTTTCAAGTGTCAAACTCGATAAGATAAGATACTGCTGAAAAAGTTTCAATAATCGAAGATTTTCCCTTTCCCGTAAATATATCAGCATAGACTGAAAAACTTTTGGGTGAGTATGGATGGTACCAACAATGCCAAAAGACGTCCGTAGTCCGTTTTTTGAACTATCTACTTTTCTTTTGATTTAGTAAGCGAAGCTTTTTTAGTTAAAATTGACCTTCTGTTTATTTGATCTCTTTTGCTTCCTTATCTCAACGCGTCATATAAATTTCTTTCTACTCTTTTATCTGTTCATCGCACACCTGCTTCTCTATACATCTGAAATGCAACCCAATTATCTTTTTACTGTTAAGTTGAATAATCTGCTCTTTTTCGTGGGAATACATATTTCGTCAATCACTCTCTAAATTGTTCGACCTCCTATACATAGTTCGGTATCTTTAAACGTAACTGATGATTTTCTCCTAACTATAACGTTCAGAAATGTATTCAAATTTTTCAAAATGATATATATAAACATAGTAAGGAATGACGACTGTTCAACTTTGACGGATGTCAATGTACATGCGTGAAGAGTAGAAAAGAAAATCATCTTTTTTTCTTTTTCCTTCTTGTACAGTCGACGTAATATCATAGATAGAGAAAAGAAAGTATGTATAATTTCTTCTCCATCTCTTTTTCTCTCTCTCACCCTCTCTGCTTTGCAGAGAAAGAAGTATCAGACGAAACAGACGAAACGTTCAACAACAATGATGATAGCGTATTCGTATGTTCATACAATTTTTGAACAGTAGGCTATTCGACGCTAGAAAAGAAAAATGATTTTTTCTCTGTTCTTCTATATATAATAATTGTTGGTTTTCTCTAACAATGGATAGTCTAACAATGACATCTAACCAGCCAACACGAATGTCTATGGACAATGCTCTAGTTGGTCCTACTGTGACTTATATTCAAACAACGAACAATAATAACAATGTATTAGAACAACGTCAGCAGCAAATAATGCAGCAACAACCGCAACGTATCTTAACTGCAATAAATGGTAATCCAACAATAATGGCTAATTCTACTGTTAAATCAGCCTCTACAAAATCCTCATCATTAAATCCTATTAATCCATTATTAGTTGGAAATGCCTATCAAAAAATGCGTACAATTACAACAACACCACCGGTTAAAACGGAACCTGAAAATATAAATGAGCTGAATCAACAACCCGCTGTATACATTATGAATAATGATAATACTCAAAATAAATCGTCGGATAACACAAGAACAATAACCGTTAATCGTCTTTTATTTCCTGGTACTAGTACGACTTCCACAATAACAAATCAAACAAATTCCATTACGCCCAACAATGTAATTACCAATGGAACCAATGCTGTTAATTTAGCTACGCTTGGTAAGGAAACTTTTAAATAAAACAACCCAATATTTGTTTTATACCTTTGTTATTTCAGTTAATAATTTAACAACGTTGAATGCAATGGCATTACAAAATGCATTGAATGGTGGCAATGCAAATAATAGTATTGCTAAGCTACTATCAACTCCGATAAATGCTGCATTCCTATCAGCAGCCACGAATGCTGTTACAAATGGAATAAGTGTACCAGCAACATTAGTACCTGCTGTTAATAACTGTAAGCTTGCATTTACTTCGTTTCAATCATAATACCTTTCATTGTAAAGAATGCTCAAGCGTGGTTGAGTTAGGTATCTCAAAAATCGCTTTGGCTTTTAAAGTCAAGTGTGAACAAGTAGTTTTAGTTCTTCTTTCTTTATTATCCAAAACTGTCTCAATTGAGTTATTACTTTCGTTTTCGTACTGAGTAGTAGTTAGGGAAGGGAGTTGCATACCACGGCGTTGGTCAATATAGTTTTCAAAAATAAATTAGTGTTCGAACCGGATCTGTTAAGTACTTTATCTACTTTTCTTTCAGCAGTAACGTCCAATAATAAAGAAAATCAAAATACAATACCTACCGTTCATTTGAATTCTAACCTTCAACATTCACAACATGTCACTTCTACCTCCATTCGCACTACAACATCAGCAGGAAAGACTGGGGTTCATTCATCACCATCATCCAATACTTGTGCTACAATTCCGTCAATTGTGAACACTCCTGTAACAATAGCAACCACACCATCATCGATAACACCAACCAATGTACCAAATGAGTTTTTTGCTAAAACAAAAGTTCTTGTGGAGCTATTAACAGCGCCAAATACCCAACCACCATCAAAATTTGGCTCGATGAATATTGATCCACAGACTCACACACCATATTCTGATGCAACACGTACACGATCAAAAAAACGAGTGAATCGAGTAAAACGGCCCATGAACGCTTTTATGGTATTTTCTCAACTAGAACGACGAAAGATTGTGCAACTAGCACCTGATATGCACAATGCAGAAATAAGCAAATATCTGGGTAAATATTGAATTTGTATTTTTCTATACTATCTAAAGATGGATAATTCAGCTAATCCGACTGTATTCTACAAGTCCAACAAGAGATCGGTAGTGGATTTATGACACTTCCGCTAACTTTTTGATTGTCTTTTTTAGGTGCTCGCTGGAAACGTCTATCTGAAGTTGAACGCCGTCCATTTATGGAAGAAGCTGAACGTTTGAAACAATTACATTTACAAGAATATCCTGACTATAAATATCGTCCACGGAAAAAAGCGAAAAAAGGTCCAAATTCACCTTCGACGACATTGACGGTTGACACAAGTTATCCAAATTCAAACCACAATAACAATACAGATACAGACACTTCATCTGAAACTGATACCCCTCATCCGATCAACGGAAATAATTTTGACCAGGATATTAATGAATTGAATGATGGTCATACAGAAGAAGAGAGTAGTGATGCATCATCCTTATTATCGAATACATCATTGATGGCTAATTTTCTGAATGATCCAAAATTAGCAAATAGTTTCTTAATGAATTTTGACGAATTACTTTCACAACAATCTACAAACTCATCGTCTTCCTCTTCTTCGTCTCAAACTGCACAAAATACCCCTTCTTCTTCACAAAACAGTCTTCTGTCATCATTAAGTGGTATGGCTGCTGATCCATCACTATTAGCGGCCTTAGAATCATTTGACTTTGCTACCCAAGCTGAATTTCTTAATCAATTAAATTTACTTGGTGACTATAAACTATTTGATTTAGATTTAACGCCAGATAATTCATTGTAAAGCCTACGAACATTTGTCCGTCTCATGATGCAGTTAATTATTTGTGATACATACGTTTTACTAATTATGAAGTTTTATTTTTGTATGTTGAACATTATCTACTTTTTTATCTTCGTCCAATATTGATTGATCATTTTATTGATCATGCACGCTCGCATCAATGTAGCATACACATTCTCGCCTGTATATTCGATTGTTGTATTGTTTCTGATCAAAATTTTTTTCATTATTTTTCATGTTGTTTGTATATAGTTTAAAAATGTATTTTTTCATTCATTTTGGATAACAGAGTATTAAAAAAAATATATGTTGTTTCACAACGATTCCGTTAATTTTTATAATAAACGGCATGATTATTCCAAACTGTGGTTGAAAAAGAGGTACGAACATCAGACGTGTGGTGGTAAAGAGACAATGGTAACAGCTTGGTCGGTAGCTTTTGCTTGCCAAAATCTTTATTTAATAGTTGGAAGCTGTAGGTTGTTGAATTGTCGGTGCATGTTCTCCCATGCCACATCAATTAACGGTATTCTGTCAGATCATAATTTTATATTTTTTATTATCGTACTGTGTTTTATATTCTGTGAAATGCTTAGAAACGCATAATACGAACATTGCTAAACAGAACAGGGTCACCAACGTTTTTGTTTACCGTTCATGGTTAAACAGAGAAATTAACGTGGTTTATTGTATGAGAAGCTACCGATTACAATACCCCCCCAATGTTCGTTGAAAAATTTCGGATTTTGAGCTGAGCATAGCTGTTGAGGTGAGATCACTCCCAGCACTTCACGACCTTTCTTCAAAAAGTTATGCATTTATGAAGTTTTTCCTTTAAAGCCTAAAAAACTCAATATTTTAGTTTCATAAACTTTTCTCTCCTTTTCTGTACATTAAAAATTTTTCTTACACATAGTCTGATAGAAGAAAGTGTTTGCTTCATAATGAGACGTCTCCCAGAATTTGCCGATGAGTTTTCGTGAAGATATAAGCATCCCGGCAAATGCTCTGAAAAAAGTGACCTATGTACAAAATGTTTTTTTTCTCGAAAAGTACTTTTCTGCCACCGGGCTCCATTGGACTACATTATGTTCCGTCTTAAATTTCATCTGATCGAGTTAAAAATTTTACCAGAGGTACTCAAGGTCATAGCGCAGAGATATAATTTTGGAATTTTATTTTTGACCTTTCTTTATCCAGTTATAGGGTTTCTAAAATTTAAAAAGTTGGTTTTTGAAAGTTTTCGGTATTTTTCCTATAACTCTGTAAAGAAATGTCTAAAATAAAATTTTAAAATTATACCTCTGCGCTATGACTTTGAGTACCTCTGATAAAATTTTTAACTCGATTGGATGAAATTTAAGGGGATCGTAATGTGGTCCAATGAAAAACCGAGTTTTCTAGAAAACTATTGAACGGCAAAAGTTAAAAACTTGGAACAAAAACGAAAAAATGTTCCATTGAGTTTCCAATCAGCTCTGGAAATATGGAGCCTTAGTGAGTTTTAGTTTTTATTTCAAAGCATTTCTACAGAAAGCCCAAAATGAGGGGAGGGGTAGCCTTAAAGGGTTGTGACATCAATGAGCAATCTTGAGCAAGATTCGATAATAATGGTGAAATATTTCATTGCATTTAATAAGAACTGATACTAAAAAGGAAAAAGATCTTTTGCAAGGTATCGACCGTTTCTAATAACCAATACACTGAAAACAGTAGATCGGTAACGGACGTAATTTGATAGAATAAAAGTCAAATCTTTCAATTCAGAAGTCATTGTTGTGCGTGAGGTTTTCAACTTTTTTTCTCTGTGAAGTATATAGAGCTTTTGTTTACTATCATTTTTCTTACAGATCATAGACATGCCGTCGAATATAAAAAGAAATAGTAGTAGAAAATCAATGTTAAAATGTTTAAAACGAACAATAAACTAGTCTGAAAGTAAGCAAAATGTAAAAAATATAAACTGACTGTTGCACAAATTATCTGACATGCTGTGTGTTTATTTTGTTCTCATAAATCATTCGCAGTGTTTTGCTAATTCACCAAAATAAGCTGTTACCGTTTTAAGTCGATTATTTAGAAAATGTTGTTCGAATTCCATAGAACTACCGTCACAAGCTAATGATATAACCTAAAAAAGAAAAACAAATTACACAAGAATATTGGTGAATATACGAAATAAGCGTACCTGTGCAATATTAATATTTCTCGGTAGAAAATAGGCAATATTTTTCGATATGTTTTGTGCAGTTTGAAACACATGAAAACCATTCAACTCGATATTTTTTTCCAAATCAAATAATTCAATTAGATCGTACGATGGACCGCCCCAAGGAGGAGACAGAAAAACAATGTCGGCTTTCAATGTCGATGCTAATTTTATAAAATCACCTACAACAAAGATTCAACTTGACATTAAGTAAGATGAACAGTTTATTAAGTTTCTACCTTGAACAAATTCTATACGATCTTCAACACCGTAAATACGCGCATTTTGTCGTGCACATTCAATTTTTTTTGGATCAATATCAATGGCAATAACTAAAATAGTAAAAAACGAATAGTAATACAATGTAGAAGAGACAGACCTTTGACTAAAATCTGCTTTAATCAATAATAACGACTAAGAAACAGTAAGGCAAAGAAAATGATTCTTGAATATCGTTAAATATTTTCTCATTTACCCTTTTTACACGTGAATGCAAATTGTATGGCATTTCCTCCGACACCACAAAATGCATCGATAATTACATCACATTGACAACGTTTAGCAATATGTCGAGCAATTTTTTCCGGTGTAACTGAAAACCAACCCTCTGAAACAAAAGGAAAACATTTTTGTTATAATATTTGGCTTCAATATTTACTTTTCTTAGCTTTACCTCTATCAAGTACAACTCCTTCATCAAATTTTGAAAATAGACGATATCGTTGTAACCAATACTTAAGTAATTCTCGATCATTTTGAAATTCATCTGGTACAGAGTTTTTATCGACAATCAATGATTTTGCTTTCTGTTTTTTTTTACGTTGTTTATCACCATTTGTTAGTGAAAGATTATCATGAATAATATCGCGTACAAACACATCATCTTTTTTCTTTTCCTGATCGTCATCAATAGATAGTTCGACACTATCCACCATTTTTAAACTATCATTATCATTTAACCATTGTGTATGAATACGTATAGCTTTTTTCAATATTAGACCATTGGATAATTGTTTGTAATTCGATAGCAAATGTACATTTGAAGCAATAATATTGTTTGTACTATTCGTATCAGCCACATACAAGCCAAGTCGTTTAAATGTTTCCCTTGTTTGTCGTCTTTCATCTTTATCACTAACTTTACTCAGTTTTTGCTTTTTACATGATTCAACATCTGCACCGGCCTAAAACAACAATAGACAAGAGTCGATTTCCAGTTAGAAAAGCTTGTTCAATTATTACATCATTTCTCCTTTCGACTTTTGTATTAATTGTTAATGTTTCTTCTTCGTCAAAACTCATTGCTTCTTCTAAATCACCCGCACCACCATAATAACTATCCGAAATAAGCTGATAAAATGTTTCATAATCAATATTTTCTCTGGTACAATATTCCTTCAATTTATTATCATAGGTTGTTAAATAATGTTCACGCCATAAATCAGTTAAATGTTGTTCATCATTTATACCGCTGTCCGATGATGTTGATGTATCATTCGTGGTACTGTTATCTAAAAAGCCGAGATATTTTATTATAATTCACTTTTAAAAACGAAGATGGACAGAATACCATTTTGATACATCCACGAATCTGATGCGATTTTGTAACCTTCAGCATCCCAATATGAAAGCCATTTTTTGAGGTCATTCTAAACATAGAATTGAAAATCAATAAATGTTCAATGTATAGAAGATTTTAGATATTGAAAACATTTTTTTAATCCTCAGAAAGAAAAAACTGTCGAAATTAAATTACTTTGTCATCAATCGACTGTTCATCTTGTTGTAATTTTGATTCTTCTTCAATAAATATAGAAATATTATATAATAAATCTAAAATACATGACTACTAATTACTCACCGGAGTTTATTTGATCATCAGATGAATATGAATATTGTTTTCGATGAGATGGTACATAACGATGAATCTAAAAACTCATAACAGCTACTAAATACGAATAACAACAACAGTCAAACACATACTAATGACGATGTAAATGACGTTGGAAGACCCATCTGTATCATTGCTAATGTTTCTTCATCTAATGGTTCATCTAAACAAAACATGAGAGAGCGAGAGCATTTAAATATATATATCCTATGTAATATGTCATCATTTCACCTTCTGGATTATTTTTTACATCAAGTTCAGCTAAATTATCGGTTATCTGATCGATCTCTAGCTTCTTTGGTTTGTTGTACATACTCCATTTTAATAAATTTAAATCACTAAAATAAAAGTATATTTTCAATCATTGCTATAATTAAAAAACAGAGTTCGAAACTAAAGTAACAAAAACTTCTTGTTTAAAAACATTCAGATATTAATTAATATTGTTTTTATAAAAATAATTGTTTAAACTAAATTCATATTAAGTTTCGGAACAAACACAGTTTGTTGTTTTACATAACTCTAGGGTGTCTTAAGTTAATGCTCGGCTTACAGTCACTTTTCATGTAGTTAAGATAAACTTAACTTTTTTCACACATATCTGGATGTCTACGTCATTTTCATTCCAGCTTATCTTGGCCAGTCTGATTGCGGAAAATTTTTCCAGACTCCATCTATTCACGTTCACAAGATGTCCTCCGAATATGGCTTAACATGGGAATATTCGTATTTACAAGATTTCTCCGTCAAATTAATAATAAGTGGGTCAATAGAGAAATCTCGCGAGTACGAAATATTATGCAGCTAAGAAATACTTTTTAAATGCCGTGGCAGCAATGTATTTCATGGTTTTTGTACAGGTCTCATAACTTTATCTAAGAACGTTGTCCACAACTAGAGGATGTTTCATTTTGATCAGAAATATTCATTCTACCATCTGTTATCAATGAAATATTTTCAGTTTTGGTGTTCTATAAATATAGCATAATTTATCGAATGGTCAATTTTTGAACCTTTGCTCAAAAACCTTTTCAAAAAACCAAGAAGCTTTTGATGAAGTCCAGGTTATTATGAAGGTTGATGGATTATCCGATTATATTTAGCTCCTTTTATAAAAAGTTTTAATATCTAACAGAGTGGCTTCGTTCCACCAAAGAGCTTATGTGTTGATAGCACCAACTCAAGTCGGAGTCTGTCCGACGAGTCGGTGTTAAACATTACGCAGATACCTGTTGTTGACTGGGCTCCTCGGTTCAAAGCTGACTCATGTCGAAACAATGAGTTAGCTCTGATGAGACTACAGAGAACACGCTTGGCAACTCCGTTTTAATCTAAAATAAAAAGATGATCTAAAAAGAAGAGTATTTCTAATTCATAATTCTCTAAATTATGTTTCTTATATACTTTACTGAAAAATGAACCGGGGAATAACAAAAAAACCGTTTAATCACTTATAATCAACAATTAATCACAGTTAATTGACGATTATTAAAATAAAACGAAAAATTAACAGGATCGCTAATTAAATAAAATAGTAGCGTATAACAAATCCTTGTTAGAATAACCTTAGGTTGGCAATGACTAACCTAAATGTTGACTTGAGCATCTGCTATGATTTTACACGAACATCTCGCAAACTATGCATATAATTTTATGGGAATTTTTCAGATATCTATGGAGGCACTACTATGCTTGGTGTTGATCAAGATCTTGTTATTGCAAATGAGTTCTTAAAATGAACTTAACTATTTAAGGCTCTTTATGGTATAGTTTTGCTTAATTTGAGTATGTATTAAACTTGTAACGTATAATTAATTCAAGTCATTAATTTGAGATGTTTGATGATACGATCCTCAGCTTGTTGTGTGAAACTCTAGTACAGAAACGCATCTCATAAAATTACTATTCTACTCACTTTCAAAAGATCTTGATTTCGACCTGAGGTAGCTAGAATCGAAATTTATGACCTGCTGTCAAAACTATCAGCGACTGCTTTTGTTTTAGATGTATTTTATTTACTTCAATAGTTAATCATATTGTCAAACTCCCAATGACGAATTATATGCTTATTGATCGAGTATCCCAATTCTTTCAGGGTATGATGATATTTTTGTTTTCCGTTATCATACAGAAAATATAACTTTTTAGATATTAGAAACAACCCAGAGAAAAGAATTGACAAGAATTATTTGCTCAGTAAAATTGATGAGATCATTGAAAAGCATCCAGAATTAGAGCACCATTATCAAGATATCATACCGGTTGATCAGATATCATCAGTGTTGACTCCGATAAAAGAAAGCGTTGTACAATCAAAAGACTTTGGTATCCGTGTTGATAGTGGAAGTAGCAGTGGTCATAGTTCTGCTGAAAGTTCAAATGATTCAATGTTTACTCCTGTTGAAAGTGAAAAGAATATATGCCAAACAGACATTAGCGTCATAAAAACTGGTGATCTACGAATCACAAAGGGTACGCATAAGAAGAATTTCGATTATGATGAGAAAAGATTCAGAATTATAGTACTGCGTTTCCGTCGAATATCTACATTGATATCTACATATTTTTAAACGATTAAACTTTTTTCGAAAATTTTCAGCCAATAACTTTTTAGAAAAATTTGAACGAAAGTCTTGTCTATTTGTCTTATCAACCTTTTTTTTTCCTCCAGTAATTGGATAGTATACGTAGGTGTTTTTTATTATAGATTCGTCCATCTTAGGTACCATCAAGAGTCGAAGGTCATCCTTTAGCAGCTACTTTTCTTTTAAATATGAGTCTGAATCAAAAGTCCATGTGGAATTAACTACTGCATATACAGAGAATAAACAAAAAGTTGTTACATTAAATATATATAATATGAAAAAGCTCAAACAATTGCTACATACATTTTCGTTACATCAAGGTAAATGTGTAAAACATTCTCTTTTTGTCTTTTGAGTAACAATGATTTTTCGTTCCAGAATACAAATTCGAGCAGCATGATAAGAAATTTTTAATAAAATATCTTTCGAATATTGACACAGTATAGTCTAACTATGATTTCTTTTTGCTCTGATTTAATAACTTTTTTTTTACTATAGTTTTGTACTGACTCACGGGATATAGCTCAACAATGGATTTTTGCACTAACGGGTGTAATATCAGAGCCTGACCAAGGAAGTAAGAATTTTTTTATAATTGATTTCTTTTGTACTCATCGCCTTTCGTTTTTAGGTGAATATGTCATATGTACCCCAACTGTATGTGTATTTCAAATATTTTATCAAACAGGTTACTTATTTATAACTTCTCTTTTTAGATGCCATCCACTCACATTCCACCTCCGAAATTGATTCCCATTCCACCGCAAGGACGAACCAAAACTGTTCTATATGAACCGACAAGTTCTGATAGGTTAGTGAACACAATTGATTTTCAACAACCTGAAAATATTTACGTATGTCAGTACGACAATAGAAAAAAATCAGAACATGAATTAGAATTTAATGTTGGAGATTTAATCTATATTGTCAATACGAATGGAAAAAACTATAACGTTGGTTATAAACACGATGATAGACTTCGAAAAATGGGACTTGTTTACAAAGGATATATCCAACCAGCATATAGGAAAGGATAAATTAAACTAGTTTTTATTATAGTCTGAAATACGCTGCTTTTGCTAATCTATTTGTGATATTTTGATACGCCTTATGGTTGCCGGACAACAGCCATCAGGTTTTTATTGTTATTATTAATCTTTGTTAGCGATAGTCTTTTGACTCACATTTCGCCGAAACTTTAGTAGAGTAGCTTGGGGTAATTCTGGACAGCTTCTCTAATTTTCACAGTATTTTGAGCGTACCTGAAGCATTTTTACTCGGAAAAAAACGACAACTCGTAGATAGACGGAACATTTCTCTATCTACTAATGTAAAAATCTTAAAATTCAATAAGACTAATTAGTACTCATCAATTTCCAGAGAGCTCCTGTCAAATGTCGCGAATTGCCCCATTTGGGGTAATTCGGGACAGTCCAGCAAAATTGGCTGGAAGAAAGTAAAACAGCCTTTTTTCAACGGCAAAGATTTATCTTTCTAATTGCAAATTATACCATCTTGTAGAGAATTTTGAGCTCTATCTACCTTGTAAATTGCTAGTCCTTTGGACATATCCTTGATTAATTAATTAGAAATTGCGAAAATGAATGAACACAGTCGTTTTCTATATTTTTCTTATTTGGGGTAATTATGGACACTCAGGTATTTTGCATGGGGTAATTCGGGACACTCCGTGCAAATCGTACGGGATAGACAGAAAACAACTTCTGCTGTATTTTAGAAACCGATTTTGATACCATGCTAAACGGCACAACTGTTCAGAATCATGAGTTATATCATATATGTAAAAACCAGATAAAAAAGTGTGTTTTCATCGTTCCGTGATGAGAATATGAACACTATTGTTTTTGAACGCTTTGTCGTTCATTAAAATTAAAAGAAAAATTAAATTAGAAGCTTAATTGAAAATCAGCTCACCAACGAGTTCAACTTTTCATAAACCTCGTACAATTCTCTTCATGTCACATGAGGTAAAAATATAATAATTGCTTAATAGGTTGAAACTAAATCAATCAAATTTCTCAAAAAGAAATGCTATTCTCATTAATGATCTTAAAAAGATGCTAACGAATTCATATGCAAGCTGGAGTAAAAAATGCTCGACACGTATAAGTACAGAGAAAACACTGTTATTCTTTACACTATCATTAATCACTATCATTCTTCAAGTTCTGTAAAATGAGTTGTACGTCCAGCGCCATGATGAGATGTTTGTGAGGAATGATGTGAATGTAATGTTGATTTTAGAATATTATATTTCTTTGCAGTAGCACGAATATCACTGCCTTCAGCAATTTCTTTGAGTGCAAGTTGAAAGTCTTCATTTGAATAACGAGGCACTTGGCCTTTTTTAACGTATATTCGAGGCATTAAGATGTGTAATAGCGAGTCTAAGATTGCCCTTTTTTGCTGGACTGTCCCGAATTACCCCAGTGAGACACTGACTGTCCTGAATTACCCCAAATGGGGCAATTCGCGACATTTGACAGGAGCTCTCTGGAAATTGATGAGTACTAATTAGTCTTATTGAATTTTAACAAGATTTTTACATTAGTAGATCGAGAAATGTTCCGTCTATCTACCTGTGAGTTGTCGCTTTTTTCCGAGTAAAAATCAGGTATGCTCAAAATACTGTGAAAATTAGAGAAGCTGTCCCGAATTACCCTAAGCTACTCTAGGTGATTCAGTATTGCTGTACCAGTTGAATTCGAAGGATCCTTTAAGTACAGAAGCGCCCCTTTTTCGGTTTTCCCTGTCCTTTTCTGTTTTTTTATAAGAACAATACGCTGCATCATTTTTTCTATCATTTTTTAATGAAACACTTTTTTGAGCTGAAAAACTGTCCAATTGGAATTTGTATATATAAGACTACCAATCTCTAGCTAATAGAAAACTCTAAAACGTTAGAGAGAGTCTCGAAACTTTTTTAAAACGATCGCTCTTTTTGAAAAAGAGACTTTTTATAAATCATATTTTCCCCATAAAATCCAATCAAAAAAAGATAACAAGATTTATGCATTCGCGCGTCTTTCAAGCTGAATTAACTGCAAGGGGGAAACAGCTGTTTTTTTGAGTTTTTCCGATTTT